GAGGAGGCAGAGCTGCAGGGGAGGATTCGTACTCTGTATGCTGGAACAGGGGAGAAGGTGGGGTTCTTGATCGGAGGATCGTCCGGTCTAGGAACGGCGTCGGGTTTTTATCGGCGGGGAAGCCGCGAGCTAGGTTGCACCATGTGATGACGAAAGTACCGATCCCTCCACCGTCGGATAAGGCGTGGTGGCCGGCGACCCCTAGACAAACTCCGCCGCATCGGAATCTTGTCACCTGAAACAGAGCAATAAAAAATGTATGTTACGGGACAATACAAGTAACAGATACACGGAAAAATGGAGCATTATATAATTAGTTTTCACCAAATTTATTAATACGAGGTCTTTTAGTAAGGATTGAAAAGTAAATTTGTCCGAATTCAGTTCAAAGCGGATGATAATCGTACTAATCAACCCAAAACGAACAAATTCGTAATAATGCTTCCAACTAGCTACTTAGTTACCTGGATGAGAAGCAGGGGAAAAGAGGAAATCCCCTGGGAGTAATCAGCCTCAAGGAAGAACTGCCTCAACTTCATAGTAGGCTGGAAATCGCCGAAGTCGGAAATGGCAGCATCAATTTCGGCTTCTGCAAACAGCACGCCTTGGCCGCTGCAATCGATTTCGTATCTCCCCGTTTCGTCCTGGGCCAATCTGCCGGCGACGGGGAAGAAGGTGGAGAGCGTCTTGGCCAGGGACTCCTTCATCACTCCAACATCGAAGAAATTGGAGGATCCGTCGTGCTTGTAAGGGAGCAGGAAGGGAATGTGACCAATTTTGACGTACATCTGGTCCATGTTGGACAGCCAGAACCGCCGGTTGGGTGTTTCGCCGGCCGGCCGGACGATCCAAGTTTCCTTCACGGTGACCTTCATCTTTTTGTTCGATCGATCGCTCTTCCGAAGGGGTTGTAGTCCTTCAACAGGAGAATGGATGGATGGATGTTTAAGCTGCTGAATAGCTTTCAAGCTTTTAAAGACGCAAATAGGTGGGAATTGATTACCGAACGGGCTGGCGCCATGATCACTTAAAGGGTCTGCAAACTTTTCATAAACTTTTGTGCAATGATGATTGATGATGGTTTGTTTGAGAAAGGCAATGGTTATCAAACCGTGGGGTTAAACAGCCTTAAATAGAAGAGAAGGCAATGGCTATCAATGTGTGTAAGCTTTACAGATTCTAAAGTAGCAAAAAAAATACATCATTCCAGTTTCAAATCCAAGTATCAAACAATTTTGAAAAAAGGTTCGTGCAACTTAATTATGGGCTTCTGTAAGGAAAGGGGTAACTTTTATAACTGTAAAACAATCCTGCAATAACCTAGCTGAAGGACGAAAATGCCTAAGAAATTTAACGGATTTTGTACTGATTGTTTACATCATTATGAGATTCTTCTCATTCGGAAGTGTACGGGGTTGTAGTTACCAACTACCATAGACAGGTTGTTGACAACAAGCAGGTTCTTTATTCTACTCATAAGCAATGGTGACAGAAGACAAAGTTATCTTGGTAGCTCGCGACTTAGAGCAAAGGCATCGAGTTTACGCTATCTTATCCTTATCGATTGCCTTCCCTTTGTTAAAGCCCTTCAGGATCCACCATCTTTGTGACATTGGGATGGTCTTGCGTGGCATCATCCAGTAAAAGATACCCTAACTCACTCGAGCTTGATTGAGATTTGTTACGTACCTCAACAATCCAACGTACAAGCGGATTTGGCGATTAAGTCTCAGATTCGTGATAACCTTCACATTAATTGAATTCAGATCCTTAATATCATCTAAATATTCCTATGATAGTTTGGCCGACCACTTTAATTGATGGGTAGAGTTACTACTTAAAAAAAACGTCCCCGGTGAACACCAAATGCATAAGCTTTTTATTAATATTAATTTTCTGAATTATCATGAATTCTTAATATATTTTACAAATTGCAAATAACTGATTTCTAAACGATTTTTATAGCGACTAAACTGATAAATCCTGACCCTCTTGCTAATTTGAGTCGATATCTAGGGGAATGGATCAGGTCAGTAACCTTATGGTGAGTAACTATGAGTAACCCGCCCACATCAGCATGACATCAGCATCCTCTCTCTCATGGAAAGCCTTTAATTTTCCCCTCCTTAATCTTTGACGGACGATTTCTCACTCGTTTTAAGTCGAAATTTAATTTTTTTTTTGCACAGTTATATCAGATTAATTGTGCTCTTCAAAATGATATCCACTTTGATATATTTTTCGAACAAAAAAAATTGAGTCATTTTATACCAGTCTATACTATATGGTATTGACTGGTATTGAAATAAGAGCATACCTATGGTTTGAAAAGCGTACCATGGTGGTATGGCACAAACCAAGACTATAGGATGATTGAATACATGATAGTAGAAGTATATTAATTGTCATTTACGACTTTTAACATTGTATACCATAAAATACCATAAAATACCACCCCGTACCATGGTGGTATTGTATGGTATTGTGTGGTATTTTTTGGTCTTGTAATTTGTTCACCCAGAAATTTGTAGATCAAATAGATCATGATGAACTCGTCCCTGCTGTGCAAACGTTTTCAAAAACGAATGAAAAACGAAGAAAATACCATATGGTATGCAGTTGGTACCGAAAGGCCAGAATTTTTTTTCCTCAAAAAATATTGAAAATTGATCTCATTTTGTAGAGCACGATGAACTCGTTCCATCTGTGCAAAAAAAAATTAAAATCCGAGTTAAAACGAAAAAGATATGAGTCAATTAAGAAACCTAGTGAAAATAAAAATGGTCTTTAATTCTCCATCCTTAGATCTGGATTTTCTAAATGAAGGGTCCAGATTTGGTTATTGATGGGTGTATGCACCCTATCTTGAGCCGATATCTAGTTGGATTCTGACCGCACTTAAAATTATAACGCAGAAATACGCTGTGGGAGAGTGGTACTAACACTAGGCAACAATCCCCTAAACCTCTCCATTGCAGCAGGCTCTAAGCAAACGGACAACAAAACATTCTCATCGTCACCGTCAGCTTTGGGCAGTATGTGACACTTCCCATCAGACCGATTTATCGACCGAGTGAAAATGGGCCCGCCCCATCCAAAATCCTTCTGGAACGACAGTCGGGCCCAAGTGATCACCTTCAGATGGGCCGGCCCAGCCGTCCCCGGGATCTGGACCCTCGTCGTCCCATCCCCGGGCCGCTCCAACCAGTCAATGGCCGATCTCACGTACAACCCATCGATCTTCCGTATCGCCCTCCTGATTCTCTCGGCCGTTCCCTCCACCGACTCCGACCGCAACTCCACCGGGGAAGCCACCGCCATGGCGTGGAACACGCAGTTGCCGAAGTAGGCACGCGGCAGCGGCGGATCGAATCTGGTCCGGCCGTCGACGCTGACGTGGAGAGTGGTGGGCTGGTTCTCGTCGGCGAATCTCCGGGCGGCGGTCGCGCAACGCCAGATGTGCGCCGCCAGGACCTCGTAGCTGCTGTACCGATTGTGGGTCATGTCCCTGAGGTGCTTGATTTGGCTGGTGGGTATGCTGTGGATCTCGGTGGAAGTAATAGCAGTTGGGGTTGAATCGGTGGTGGATTCTTGATACTCTGGGTGCTGAAACAGAGGTTGAGATGATGTAGATCTGAGAAAGGTACGATCGAGGAGAGGTGGGCTGGTAATGGGGAGATCGCGAGCTTGATTGGACCATGCTGTCATGAAATTAGAGAGCCCTTCGCCGTCGCATAAGACGTGTTGAAGCCCAATCCCTAGACATACTCCGCCGCATCGGAATCTTGTCACCTGATTGAAGAACAGAATCAAAGGAAGAAAGAAGAAAAAAATCCTAAATCTTAGTGAGAGAATTGGTGGGTTTCCTTCCTTTATGCCTTAATCGAAGAAAACATCGAGATTCGGGAGAGTTACGTTGCCTGTATGAGAAGCAGGGGAAGGGAGGAAACGCCTCTGGAGTAGTCAATTTCAGGGAAGAATTGCCTCAACAATTGGGGCGAGGAGAAGTCGCCGAGTTCAGACATGGACGCGTCAATTTCAGCTTCTGCAAAAAGGACGCCTTGACCACTGCAATCGATTTCGAACCTGCCGGTTTCATCTTGGGCCAATCTCCCGGCGACCGGGAAGAAGGCGACGAGGGTTTTGGCCAGGGACTGCTTCATCACTCTGGCATCGAAGAAATTGTGGGAACCGTCGGGGTTGTAAGGGTGCAACAGGGAGACGTGAGGGAAGTTCACGAACAATTGGTCCAGGTTGGAGAGCCATAGCCGCTGCTTGGGTGTGTCTTCCGCCGGTCGGACTATGCAGCTTTCCTTCACCGTGGTCTTCATTTTCTGCTTACTTTCCGGTGGGAAATGAGAATGAGAATTGGAAGGGTGAATTGTTTGTTTGAGAGGGAAGAGGGAGAGGAGATCAAGATTGTGATGGTAATGAGGTGGCGATCTTGCAGAGGCCGTGGCTGGCGCTGGATATGGCTTGGGACTTTCTCGAGAGTTGTTTGTTAGACATGGTATAATCGAGTTTAATCAATAATTGAACAACAATTTATTGGAAGATCACACTACTATAAGATGTTGGTCAAATAAATTAAGGAAGGCTCATTTTCATCAGTTATCTCGTGGTTCAAGTCCCTTTCACAACTTGGGCTCTATCATCTTGGATTTTGATCATTATAGTCACCCGACCCATACACCACGGTTTACACATCATGGAGAATGAAGATGACTTAACAACAAATTAAGGAGAAAATCGACATTTAACATACATCGCATCCAAAATTAAGATCTCATTTTGATTTCATTCTATTTTTTAATAGCAACAAAATAAAAGACTTCAATTCAAAGACATTTAAACTCTTCGACATAAAACAGTAAAATTCTTTAACGAAAAGTCTCAATTGATTTGGTTCACGGCATACCTACACCAAAAAAGGATTTCCCCTCTTCCCATCCCTTAATTTCATGGATCAAACACAACCTTAGAGAAGCTTTTTAATGTCATGCCCTAAGTGGGATAGATCCACCCTTCTCTCTCTTACTTTTTTTTCAAATTTTTCCTCTGTCTTCTCTCTTCTCCTCCAGCCCCTCTGCTTGGGTTTTTGCAGGGGTTGCCGCCGGCACCTCTTGGTGACCGGCGGTAGCCCATTTTTCTTTCATCTTCCTTGCTTTTTTATGCTTCCTTGCCACCTGTTTGGCCTTTTTCAATCGGATTTTCCAGCTTTTTAGCTTCTTCTGCCTTTATGGCCTTTCGTTGCCCTGTTCTAGGGGTTCCTTTCTGGATTTGCTCTCCTTGGAGTTGGGTTATGCATCTAGAGGTCTCCTCTTTAGATGGTGGGTTCAACAACATGCATGGTGAATCGATTCATTGTTTTCCCCTCCGTTCCCCCTGTTGGTAGTCATTTGCCTCTTGGTCGGCGTCGGTGGAAGGAAGGCGATGTCTGGCCCTTCACTACAAGAAAATTGATCTTTCATAACGGGATTTTAATTACGGGATTTTTCCCATTGCTAAATATTTTACGGTTGTCACGGGAAATAGTTCCCATAATTAATTGAGCTGGACAATCTTGATTTACAATGGGATATCAGCCCGTAATCATAGAGTGAGAGTTTCCCGTGACAGATGAAAAAGCCAAAATACTTGGCGGTAAACGAAATGCATTTGCCTCCCTTTTTTTTTTTTTTTTTTGAAACTTGCCTCCCTTTTTTTCGTTTTCGCTCCAAAGTTGGGAAAAGTGGGACTTTGTTTTGGCCAATGAAAGAATGGATGAGACCCAAAATCATTAAAAATAAAAACAAAAAAAAAGTGCACCTGGTTTCTCATTTTGGCTTCCCAAAATCCCTAGCTTGAAATCAGATACTCCCCACCTCCTTGTTCGTTCCCCATCACCAGCCTCCTTGTTCCCTGCCCATCGCCGGTGTTCCTTACCCCATCAACATCGTTCCTTTCCCTGTTACCTGCATCCCTTAAACCCTTACTCCATCCCTTCGTTCCTTCTCCCATCGACGGTGTTTCGTCCCCCATCGGCGCCGTTCCTTCCTTCCATTCAATCGTTCCTATCACCTGTAAAATGGAACACACCTCGCTCATTTTGTGGAACGGGTGAAGGTCGAATCAGTCTCGAGGGGAAGGATTGAAAAGGTTCCTTCCTTAAACCATATCGTGCCGCCCTCTGTTGAATGGAATGCCCCTCAGCTGCAAGCATGTCGAGCTGGGGAAGTTGAGAAGCTGAGAGCAGACCACTAAGCCGCTGATCTCCAGGTATGTCGGCGTTCATCTTCCCTGTCCACCCTTTTCATGTGTGCATGTGTCGAGAGAAGCAAAACCATGATTGTTAAAAAGACGGATCTGTGTTATGGAGATGAAATCCAAGAAGGGAGCTCTTTTCTTTTTCTTCAATATTTATATGAAATGGGAAAATCGGGTCGATAATGCTCAATTGGATAGTGGCATTGTGTGTGTGGCAGCTGTGCGAAGAGCAGGGGATCCTGAGAATAGAGGTTGATGTACTACAAAGTACTAAAGAAAAAGGAAGCATTTCTTTTGTTTGTTTGAATGAAATCAAGCTTGGGAACAATTTGGCGGTGGGGGTGGTGATATGGAATTACTGAGTGCGGAGGTGGATCTTCATTGGAGAGGATGGTTTATGGACCACTAATCCAACAATGATGGATTTTTAAAACCCTTTTTGTTTCTTTGTGCTGATGTGGGTTGTCAACAAAACTATAAACTTTTTAGATGTGTACAAAGCTGTTAGCTGAAGTAATGCCTGCTTCTCTGTCCCCTGCATGTGAAAGAGATGTAAGGTTTGAATCTGTTTTTGCACTTGGCATTGTGGTTCTGAAACTGTGAACTGGCAATGAAAGCCGGGTAGCTTTGTTATCTTCTTTTTAGTGTTGCTGCCCAATGTCATGCCTGCGGTGTGTCACAGTTTGCGGGTTGCGAATATCCCTTGGCCTCCATGTGGTTTGGTTTTCCTTTCTGGTATAGCAGCAGCTTCGTACTCTGCGCACGGTTGGTGCTTTCATTCTTTGGGCATGAGAAAGTAGTCCAATTCTGCTTTTCTTTTATTTTCCTTTAGCGGGCAACTCTGTTTACGTCGGATGACCAGAATACAGAGAGTTCATTTGGGTGCTCAGAAAGAAGGTGATTATAGTTAACCACCTTGCTCTGAGTTTGGTAAAAATGATGATGGCAAGCGGTGTAAGTGAAAGAGGATTTTTCTCGGTTGAAAGCTCATTATTTCTTTGCTGCGCAGGAAGATGGGTAATGAATGCATGAGAAATTTGGTGAACTAATCTCATTAGTGTACTCGAACCGTATTACATTCCACAAAAGCTTAAGGATATTTGGATTTAACTTGTTAGTGATAGAGCTGTGCTGATTTTAGACTGCAAGACCTGCCGATCAAACACTGTAAAATGCAGTGTTGATAACTTTAAGGCGCTAACGAACCATGACCACTAAGCCACTGATTCTCCTTCGCTACTGACTCTTTCTTCTTTACAGCTTGCTCGATCCCTGTATGAGTTTCGCATTCCGCTTGATGAAAAATCATCTCCTTGCCTCTGTACAAACTCATCTTCACACTTAAGGTTTGCTTATTTACCTTATCCTTATGGTTGACTTAGATGAAAATAAAGCATGGTTGGTTCTAATTAATCTATGCATTTTGTAGGTTTTTTTTGGTGCTGGTGGTTGGTATCTAGTTGCAGAAGGGAGACTCTTGGATTCACGGTGCCAAGTTGGGGTTTAGCTAGTATTTGAAGGTATAACTGTAAACTGATTTTCACTTCTCTCCCAGGGAAGGCTTTATTTTTTGGATTGATATTCTCATAATATGCACTAATGCATTTTGGCCCAAGCATTTCCCTATGGTTAGAACGCTAGAACTGAGGGGGCCAAGATCAGGTGACTAAGGGGGGTCCCCTTAGTCATTTGGCTAAGTCAATCTCAGCCACTACACCTCATTAAAATCCAATGGCTACAATTGATCCAATTTAATGAAGGACATTATAGTAATTACATTATTATTTAAATTATTAATTAAAACAATAAAAAAAATCAGCGCCTACCTCCCTCCCTTCCCGCGAGTCCCTGCCGGCGGAACTTCTCGTACGGTGGTGCTGGTCCCCGCCGCCGTCTTCCTTGCGCGCTACTCAGGGATGGGATTTTTAATCCCATTGATTTGTGCGGCTGCTACAGAGAGAGTGGGGGTGGGATTTTTAATCCCCATCCAATGATGAGAGAGAGAGAGATTTTTTCTGGTCGGGAATTTTTTCCCGGCGAACATCGTCGCCGGAGAAGAATTTCCCGGCGACAGTGCTAATTTTGTGATGTTTGTTGACATTTTTTGTAATGTTTGTATGATTTGTTATTTTGTAATGTTTGTCGGTTTTTTTTGTAATGTTTGTAAACTTTGTTATTTTTGTGTACCATGTTTGTAAACTTTGTCATTTTTGTGCACCATGTTCGTAATGTTTTTTATGTCTAAAAAACACCCGGGTTGACTTTGGGAAGGAGCCCCTCTATATAGGGATGGAGCCTCCAAAGTCAACCCGGGTGTTTTTTCCCGTTCGTATGGATTGTCGGTCTAGTTTGTCATTTTTGTCCACCATGTTCGTACTGTTTGTATGTCTAAAAAATACCCGGGTTGACTTTGGGAAGGAGCCCCTCTATATAGGGATGGAGCCTCGAAAGTCAACCCGGTTGTTTTTTTCTTTTTGTATGGTTTGTATTGTTTGTCGGTCTAGTTTGTATTGTTTGTACAGTTCATACGTTTGTAATGTTTGTAAATCTGTTTGTATGTTTTGTCGCTCTAGTTTGTACTGTTCGTATGTTTGTATGGTTTGTACTGATTGTAAATCCGGTTTGTATACTTCGTAATTTTCCATAATACCCAAACTACCCCTGTCATTAATTAAATAGCCCTTCCCACTTTTTAACCATTGGATTGAAGTGTCCAGATCTAAGGGCTGGGAGGGACTTAGTCAAGTGACTAAGCACCCCCCCTTAGTCACTGGATCCGCTCTCGAACTGAGGTTTAATGAGCGTTCTGAATTGGGGAAGCTTGTAGGTTACCTGGTTTATTATAGGAACCTTGTTGCATTAGTTTTTATCACTCCTTTCTTGTTGTGTTCAGCGAGATGCAAGGGTCTTGTTTATTGCTATAGATAAATTGGTTTCAATTGTCGAGTTGTCCTTGTTCAATTTGAGGTCGAAGGTTGTTGTGTTCGACGATGATCGATTGATTTTTGGTGTCTTTGTCCAGGCATGGGTGGCCTGATGGTCGTTGTGGGGTAGTAGAAAAAGTACCCTGTTTTTGGTTTTCTAGCGAGAGTGGGATGCACTATTTCTGGTTTGCGGTTGGAACCTTTCTTGGCCACTTCAATGTTGTTTTTCTTTTGTTCTTTCTTGGCTACTTTTTTTTTTTATGTTTGTTATGTTCTTGTATTGCATCAATCATCTTTATAAAAAGATATATACATACAAACTGATTTGTCTTCTTTTGAGGGTTGTGCATGGATGCTATTTGTTTCTTGATGGTTTTTACTTCCTTTTTCAGTCGAAGTGGCTTGGAGCTATTAGCCCGCCTGACTGCATCTAGCTCGTGCTATTTGTTGGTTCTTTTGTTTGTTTGCTTCGTTGGCAGGATGCTGCACATTTTATATACGTCCTCTTTCTCTTGACATTTATCTTTTTGTCCTCTTTGATCCTTGCTTTCTACATGGTTTTCTAGCATTCTAATAATACTTTGTCTCTATTAAGTAACATGTCACGGATTAGTGTTAGTGTAAATTTATCAAACTTGATTATGATAAATGAAACTTATGATTGCAGGTTTGTGTGGGTCCTTTTGTTGTTAGTAGTCTTGTCCACATACGGTTCCATCTTGGGTTTGTGGTGACAAAAGGCTTCTGTTGCTACTAAGCTATTGGTATGCATTTCTTAACTTTATTTTTTCCTTGCCTATCTGAATTTTCTCTTACTCCATAATGGGGTACGAGGAAATGGAATTTGTTTCCAAACATCAAGTTTTAACTTTAGATCTAGTTATATACATGATATTTTGTTACTAGTTTGCCTCCTTTCTTTGTGAATGAAGAAGTTGGAGTAGTATAATACAGTGAACTTAGAAATTAAAAGCTGAACTTAGAATTTAATGGTTGAACTTATAAATGAAAATTTGAACTTAAAAGGTGAAATGAGAAACTAAAAGTTGAACTTAGAAGACTTTGTGCCTCTTTTTATGAAATTAGGCTTGTGGAGAACTTGGAGATCTAAAATGAACTGTGAACATGTGAAGAACCATGACAACTTGGAAGACATCCTCAATGATGTTCCGGAATTCCTAAGTAAAGAGGATTGGGAGTGGCTCGTGAAGGAAAAGTTCCTTTGTAAAGAATTTAAGGTAATATCATCATACTTTACTACTTTGGCATTCTGCTTTAGCTCAATGGAATTTGATATTTTATTTGATATTCAATTTTCTCTTTATATAGAAGATGAGCAAGACCAATGAGGAGAACAGAGCGTTGAAAACAATGAATCAACATAGTGGAAGAAGACCCGTTCGACAAATTGCGCTCGATTTGGTATTTGTTATTTACCTCCATCCTTTAAGTTATTTTGAATTTGAATGTTCTGAAACTTCCAATCTATATTTAGTAGCTTGTTGTATTGATTAAAAAACCAAAGTAATATAACTATAGTAGTAATACAAAAGTAACAGGAACACAAAGACAACATGCTACCAAAATTGTTTGTTTCTATTCTAACATGTATTATATTATTATATATATGTGTTGCTTGTAGGAAGAGAAGTTTGGAAGACCTCCAACTGTAGCTGAGCTAGTGTTTGAGACCTATAAAGAAGGAGACACGATAAAAGATGATGCAGCAAATGAAAGACATGTAACTTCTATTTAAAATTCTTGTCTCTAATCACTTAGGTTGCTTGACTATTTTAACTGTGGTGTGTGTTCTTGATTAGGCTAAAATACTTGAGATAATGGAAGCAAATCCGGACTTCACTGCACTTGAAGTGGTAGAAGCAATCTTAGGAGAACAAAAGCGTGGTCATGTGATTTGTTTTGGAGGTGGCTTGAGGCCTAAGGATTTAAAGAGCTCAACTTCCACAAAGGATGCAACGGATGCGAATTTGGAAGCCCAATTAAGACGGTCAGATGAAGAAAAGGAAGCTCTTCAACAGTCTGTCATCGAACTGAAGGGTACTGTTTCCGAACAAGCTGAAGAGATGGCCAATATGAAGGCTGAAATGAAGAAGTTGCAAGAGATGTTCGCAAGTAGTCAAAATAGACAACATTAGGTACGTATAATTCTTCCTCCTTGACAACTTTAGAACACTGAATTTTTATATGTTCATTGAGCTGCTATTTATTGTTGATTGGATATAGAACACTGAATTTCTATCATTTTATTGAGCTGCTGTTTTTTTAGTTGTCTGGAGAGGTTGCCTATGTAAACAGTTTCAGAATGATGAATTTCTGGCTAGTTATTGAGCTGTCATTGTTTTTGTGGTTGGAGAGTGTAGTTGCTCATGAAAGTAATTTCAGAACACTTAATTTGTGGTTCTTTGATGAGCTGCTGTGTTTTGGTTGTTTGGTTAGAGAATGCTGAATTCCTATCCTTTTATTGAGCTGTTGTTTTGTTCTTGTTTGGAGAGTATTGCTACTTAGGAAAGCAGTTTTAGAACACTAAATTAATGACCTTTAAAGAGCTTCATTTTTTTGTTTATTGGACAGTGGTGTTACTTAAGAAAGTAGATATGTAACACTCAATTTGTGACCTTTTATTGAGCAGTTATTTGTCATTGTTTGGACAGAGATGATTCTTTTTTTACTGGCACTAGAATTATTGGTAGTGCATACAGTAGGGATAAGGGGGAGGAAAGTTGCCATGGAGCATTGTCTAGCTCTTGGAGCATATGATAAGCATATTGTATATCTAATGTAAGATTTTGGTACATGTTTTGTAGTGTTGTTTAACTAATCTAATCTTTGTAATCTCTTTTTTTAATGCAGATCTGCAACACAAGTTGGTGGCTTAAACCAAGGTGAAGCATAACAAGAGTAGTTCGACCTTGCACGTTGTGGAGTGCAATGGTAATTTTGTTTATAAGAAAGATAGAAACTACTCTAGCTTATTTTGTTGAAGCATTTGATATTTTGTGATATCATCAATTAGATAGGTACAATGTGTGATGATATAGGTACAATATGACTAAAATGCTTCAAGAATTAGATTTCTGAATTGTAAATTAACGTTGGCGAGTAAATGATATGTGGATTACCAAGACTTCCTAATTGTTTCAAGTGAGATTTATATCTTAATTATTATAACAGGACTTTCATGTTACTTATAGCCAATATCCATCACAACATATACTGTGACTAGTCATCATTGATTAATGTCTAATAATAATAACAGGATTTCCCATGACAAGTAACAATTATTTATCACGGGAATAACCGTGATCAGTAAGAACTATTCATCACGGGCTTTACCGTGACAAATGGGACAAAAACCGTTGCTTTTACTTGGTCACATCCCGAACATTCCCGTGACTGTCAGACGAAATCCCGTGACAAATATGTTAATTAGTCACAGGATGTCCCGTGACTATTATCTATTTCAGTCACGGGGACTTTACCGTGACTAATACTTTGTCACGGGAAATACCGTGCCAAAATATATCTTCTATTATGGGATTTTTCCCGTAGTTTTATATTTCTAGTCACGGGATTTCCCATGACAATTGACATTTAATCACGGGCATGCTTGTCACGGGAATTTACCCGTGGCTAAGGGATTCAGTAACGGGAAATGGCTGTTTCGTCACGGGAAATCCCGTGATCGAAGATGTATTTTCTTGTAGTGCTTCTGACTGCGGTTTCAGACCTTGGATTTTGGAGTTTGGGTTCCTCTTCTCCCTTGACCAAGTTCTTGGTGCCTTGTCTTCCTCTGCTTTTTCAGCTCGGAGCATTTCGATCCTCTACCCTTTCCACCGCCATGTAATCCCTCACAAGAGATTCACTGTGTTGAGCGTCTTCGAGCGACTCCCAGGAGGCGGCATTTGGCGTTGTATTCAATTGTCATGGACTCGGTTGGATCGGACGAGCTGATTATGCTTGGTGCTCTTTGATTGGTTTGTTTGCAAGGGAGCTTTCGGTGTCTTCTGGATCTGATTCAAGTGTTGCTGATGTTTTGGTTTGATATTTTCTGTGTTCTGTTCTTCTCGTTTTGTATTCCTTTAACACAGATTGTACAACCGTGTGCTTATGTTTGGCTTGCCTTGATCTTTTATGGGCTTCTTTATTTGGCTTCCCTTGTAACTTTTCTTTCAAAGAGCAATACAAGTAAATCCTTTGTCAAAAAAAAAAAAAAAATGTCATGCCCTATTTTGCTTCTAGTCTACTTCTATAAAAAATACATGGCGCCTCCTTCTTAGCCGGTAGAAAACGTTCACTCACTACAACAAGAAAAAAGTCACCACACACAAAACATGAAAAAAGAAGCCACCAAAATGAAAACCTCAAGTACATAAGTCATAAACCCAAGTTACACAATGTCATTTCCATTCTCCTACAGAACACATCTTAACTACTACTTCTTCACTTCCCCAATCCTCATTAGAGCAAGATACGCAACAAGCCGGTACCCAACAATCATCACCAGCAGCGCCACCGCCGAAACCGCCTGCCCGTCGAGCCCGACACTCTTTATCGCCGGATAATCCCCAACCAGACACATCTTCCCGTCGCCGCAAGGGTACACGTCGTCGTCGGCGAACTGAGACCCGAGGAGGAGCTTGTAGGTGTGCTGCCCGATGGAGATGTACTTGATCCACGCGATGAACGGCGGCACGTGCTGCACGTAGTAGCCGCTGGCGAGCAGGAAGGCGAGCATGATGATCGAGCCCATGATGGTGGCGTTCTTCTGGTCCATTACCAGGGCCCCGATGGCAAGGCCCAGGCCCGAGGCCACCAGGACGCTGTAGAGGAGCACGGCTAGGGTGTGGAAGAAGTGGGCCGGGGTGGGCTTGAAGCCCACCATGAAGTACGTTATGATGACGAAGACGGTCGGCAAGACCAACGACATGGGAAGGTCGCCGACGATTCTTGACATGAAGTAGGATGAGAGCTTGTACATCCCGGAAGAACGTTCCTTCATTAGCATCCGCCGTTCTTGTGGGAAAGTGAAGATGGCCTCGAACAACGGGTAGAATCCCCAGAAGCCCGAGTAGAAGAAGAGCAACCCAATCTGCGCCATAACAACAACAATGTTTGATCACAAACATCGAAATTGTAGTCACAATTTTTGGTTCTTATGCCGAAATTTTTACATACTGAAAATGCGTCATTAATAAAGTCAACTCATATTCAGGGAAATAAAGCACGTTGTGAACGTGTCACATTCCATATTATATTCAGATGACGTAATAAATAAGCACGTTACTAATGCATCATAATATATATCGCAAATTTGTCAACGTTTATAAAGTCAATCCATACTCGGCAAATAAAGCACGTTGTGAACGTGGCACATGCCATATTATATTCAGATAACGTGATAATGCCAATTCATACTCAACAAATAAGTACGTTACCAATGCATCATAATATATACCGCAAATTTGTCAACGATTATAATACACTGGAGTGACATGTTGGCTAAAATAACATTATACAAAAACACTAGAGATGCAAGGGAAGCACAACAGGGCTAACAAGCTCAATCTACATCGTCAAGTTCGATCACAAACATCAAAATGTAGTGACATTTTTTGGTTCTTATGTCGAGAATTTTATTGAAATACCTCAGTAACGAAATCAATTCATATTACAGTCATTTATTCAAATGACGCAATAAAGTCAATTCATACTCAACAAGCAAGCACATTATAAATGCATAATTTATTCAAATGAGTAAATGACGCAATAAAGTCAATTCATACTCAGCAACCAAGCACGTTACCAATGCATCATAATACACCGCGATTTTGTCAACCAAAGGGAAGCAGAGCAGAGCAGGGCTTTACCTGATCCTGCAGATTGGCAGCACTGGACTGCCACCAGAGTAGGCCGCAGAGGATTGCGACGGCGAGCACCTGGAAAATCTTGAGCCCGGAGAAAGACTCGTACTTCCTCTCTTTCAGTCCCCTGGAGATCAAGATCGTGAACTGCTGCCACCAAGTCGTCGGCCACCCAGAATATTGCTGCTTCTTGCCGCCGCGAGACGTTGTTCTGTCCCTCTCCTGAACAATCTCCCCGCCGGCGGCGGCGGCCCCACCTGTTTCCTGATGAACCTGCAGCTCCGATTTCAACTTCTCGGCCAGAGTAGCCTTGTAGGCCGAAACCAATGCCTCCTTGACTTTGACCGGGTCTTCCTGGCCCTCGTTCTCCCCCGACGACACTCCTGCAGAGAGTCAAAACAACCAACCAGTTAGCTAATGTTAATTAACGTGCAGGCAGCGTTCATTAATTAACATTTAACAAGCTAGCACAGCTCCCGTTACACTTAATTATCAGTCAACAGAGAAATTGGAGGTTCAGTATAAGAGCCCGTCAGCGGTGACGTACGCTAGGGAAAGAGTTATGGCCAAAAGGTAACAGAAAAAAAAAGGGGTAAGAGGACACATGTCTGTAACGAGGAACTGTGCCAAGTGTAAGGTTTTTTCGGAAGCAACATATCCGTTCATCCCCATTACGCAAAGCACATGCATTTATAAGGGAAAGAAAGGAGTCTGTCAATTCTCTAGCTCTAGCTATTAATTCGATCAGGTTCTGGGTGTAACTTTCCCCTTCCTGAACTTCCAAAGTGAAGTAAGCTAGTGCTGCTGAATGAAAGCCAGCTATCAGAGTTCCTCTTTTCCCCCTCTCTTGCATGGGAACCATGTGTTCGAATACTACTGACGGCCGACTCCCCCGTTGCGGCCTTAAACACGGCCACCGCCCCCGAGGTCCCCCCAATTTCCAACTCCAAAATCACTCACCAAATTGGTGCTTCCAAAAATCCATGTACTTTTGGGTAGAAGGAACAAAAAATACAAAGATATAAAAAAAAAAACCTAGCTCTTGGAATCCCGCTCGATCTCGATCTCGCGTGTGTTCGTCCATTATACGCGTACAGAACGGAAAAGTACCAGCATACGCTGTATAAGATCGATCAATACTGTCGTACTGACTACGAACACAGTCTGAAACCCGACATTCTACTACGTTATGTTTGGGCATGATACTTAAATATATGTCGATGAGTCTAAAACCCCTATAACTATCTAATAAGACAAATTGATCGTCGTCATCATCATCACTACTTTTTTGCTTAATCTACCACAAAAGCACAACGCACAGCAGACCCGACATTAACAAAAGCATATCTATCCGAATCCCGTTATCTTCATAATGACTACGAACAATCTTGAAACTACCATCCTTACGTTACTACGCTATCATAATCCTAAACCCTAAAACTCTCTCAAACACAAATCAATCATCTATCACTTTCTAGCTCAACCTACACAAAAAACATAGATCAGCAAAATACATACCGTTGGCGAGGTCCAAGAGGAAATCCGACGGATTCATGGGCACCCGAGGGACATACCCAGCCTTCTCAAAATACTCCATCACATCCCCGCCTCGCCCAAAATACAACGGCCAACCTTCCGACAACAACATCACCTTATCAAACATGTAGAACAGCCTGCTCGACGGCTGGTGGATCGTCATCACCACCGTCCTCCCTCCGCCCCTCGCCACCTCCCACACCGTCGACACGATCCTCTGCGCCGTCGTCGAGTCCAGCCCGGACGTCGGCTCGTCGAGGAACAACAGGCTAGGGTTCACCAGCATCTCCTGCCCTATGCTCACCCTCTTCCTCTCCCCGCCGGAGACGCCCCGGAGGTCCTCCCCGCCGATGATCCCGTCCTTGCACTTGTCCAGCCCGAGCTGCCCGATCACCGCCTCCGCCTGCCCGACTTTTTCGCGCCTCGTCAGCGAGTTGGGGAGGCGGAGGAGCGCCGTGTAGACGAGGGTCTCCGTCACCGTGAGGTGAGGGTAGAGGACGTCATCCTGCGTCACGAACCCTATCGACCGTCTCATCCGGCTGGAGAAAGGTTTCCCGTTGTAGGTTATGGCTCCGTCGAGTTTCCCTTCTCCTCCGCCGAGTTTGCCTCCCAGCGCGGTGAGGAGCGTCGTTTTGCCGCTCCCGGAGGGTCCCAGCATTGCTAGCATCTCGCCCGGGTGGACGATTCCCGTGACGCCTTTTAGGATCACCTTCTCGACTTCCGAATCCGATTCCGGCGACGACGACGATGATTTGTGGCATTTTGAGAATCCGGGATTTGGTAGTTTCACCTTGTAAACCACGTCCTCGAACTGAATTTTTTTTGTTACCACACGGTCAAAAAAAAAAGGTTAGACGTGGGAAAAAAAGGGTTTCTTTTTGGCTTGTTGAATGAGCGAGTGAAGAGTTAAAATTGAGTTTTATTACCTTGAGGGTGACGTTGCGATTGGCGTCCATGAAAACGGAGGAGGAGACGTGGTGCGGCGGCGGCGGAGGGTGGGACTGTGACTCGGTGTCGAAATTGGCACTCACATCCGGCGGCGCCATTGGTTTGGGGGCGGCTAGCTCGATCTGAAATTCTCTGGGTTTTTTTTTTCTTCTTCTTCTTCTAGGATTTGTACGTTTGTTTTGGGGCTTATGTTTTTTTTTTCTTCTTCTTCCTCTTTGTATTCTTGTTACTCGGTGGATATGGAAAATCGCGGGGGATGGTTTGCCGATGAATGTTTTCCCATTCACGACGGCGTGCAGAAGGAGGGAATCGGCGGAGAGTGACGACGGCGGCGGTGGTGGGAGTGAAGGGAGAATGAAGGACGGGGAGGGAGATCGAGGGTTTTATGGGGTCAATTTTTGTTTTGTGGTTTTTTTTTTGTTGGTGTGGTTGTTACGTTTTATATATAGTGAGGGCAGGAGAAATAAACTACGAAGTGGAACTGTGGAAGTGGTAATTTTTATTTTATTTTATTTTATTTACTTTTCACACCACTCACCGCCTGCTTTTTAACCAATGAGCCTTTTTTACTCTCTTTTTTTTAAAACCTTTTTATCCAAGCTGGTATTTTGGACTGTAGATTATACGTGGAATTTGGAAACCAACATGGAGACGGAACTCCCCCGATTTTGAACAGAATTCATGGAGAAGGGTGGGTTTGTTGTAACCAGCGATTTTCTACCGTTCTTTTTTGTATTAATGGTTCAACCGTTCTTTTTAAGATACGTGGTGGGGTTGATTTTGAGGGGGGAAAAAGCAAATCCATGTATTTCCAATGTCGTTTTAATTTGAGTGAGTGTATTATTGTTGGGTAAATCGAGAGCTTGAGAA